GGGGCAGGGGGTGGGGGGTAGGAGGGTCTAATTTCTTTTGGTCTCCCTTCCCTCTTAATCTATACTGTATATTTCCCTTGTTTTCAACTTTGAACCTAAGACTTTAGAAATAGATTTTAAAAGATAATTGTTTCTTTATTTCCTCATACAATCTAAGGATATATTTCCCAGTCTTGTCTCCTTGTGTTTGTGTTTTTAAAAGCGTTTCATATCAGAAAGCTTGGAAAATTTAAGCAGTCGTAAACCTTAGAATATCATTTCCAGGTCAACTTTGATCTTATATGCCAAGTTCATCAGTGGGAAAAAAAATTTAAATCTCTCACATCTAAATCAATAACTAGTGTTCCAAGGGAAACTTCAAAGTTTCACTTCAGATTTTTAAGGAAGGGTAATTCCTTCAATATCAAATAAATGAGATGTCAGGAAAAGCCAGAATCCCTTTGTTTAGGACAAGGTCTATTTATTTGACTTTCCTTGTCCTTTTTTCCCCCTCTTAATATAAAATCTTCACTTTTTCTTTTTTTTTCTTTTTTTTTTTTTTTGTCTCTGAAGAGACACTTTTACTATATTCTTTCAGATGACTGTTTTTAATTTAGAGAAGAAATCAACACATAGTGGCTCAAATCTGCTTAGATAAGGTGTTCATTCCTTCCAGCTTTTCATGTTTCAACTTTTGCGGGGCCTGGCGTACATCCACCACCAACACGTTCTTCACAGGGACCTGAAGCCTCAGAACTTACTCATCAGTCACCTGGGAGAGCTCAAACTGGCTGATTTTGGTAAGCCGCCCCTCGAGTCTCCTTCTGGGCTGTGAACAACGGTGCTTTTGTGTGCAAGTGTTTAAAGCATTGATGAAGCCTGGCCTTTGAAAAAGAGAGGCCTGGGGAATGTGATGCTTTGTGAGGGTATCAGATAACCCTCTTGGAAGTGTGAGACAAGAAACAGGGAGAGATTGGTAGCTTTTTAGAATTCCATCAAGCCCCAGTCTAATCAGATTCTAAAACTTGGGCGCCCCTCCTAGCCCAATGCCATTTTTGATATAGAGACATTTGTAGAGTGAACTGGACTTGGTAGGTTTCCCTAAATCTAGGTGGATATACAAATTCTTTCAGAATAGATCAAGATTACCCAGAATGGCAGGATAAAGCACTTTACCTCAGATTGTAGGATAGACTCATGCTAGAATGGAGACTCCAGGATACCTGTTCCTGCTCACCTATGTATTTACATAGGTGTGACTGTGTGGGTACTGAACGCTTTTATCCCATCAAAGTGATGTAGATTTCGCCTAAGTATTACTGTAGCTTTCCATTTTAGCCCTTATCACAGTTTATAATTACACACGCACACACAGGCACACACACATTTATATGATGATTTTTTTCTCCTCCACTAGACCTAAGCATTATAAGGTCAGCCTGGGTCCATTTTTGCTTTTCATTGGATCCCTAGTGCCTGATACCACAGTAAGTGCTCGATAAATGTTTGTTTTAAATCTGGTTCCATGTGAGCTGAGGAAACACTCTTCTCAGTTTGGTAGATGTCAGATGATTGTCCTATAGCTCGGTACTTCATTCTGTGATAGTAGCTTTCATCTGGACATCTGGACATGTAAGCATTTAACAGACGTTCACTTATCAATTCAGACTCATCTATTAAAGTTTCTTTTTTTCCAGCTTTAGATCATGTGATCCCGTGAGATAAGTAGCTGACTGACAAAAGTAGAGGAACACTTGAAAATGACTCATCTAAGGTCCTATCACACTAATTTGGATTAGCAATCTCCACCCTTTATCTAACTGGGGACTCCTGGACAGCAAAAATAAAGGTGGACACATGAGTTGGGAACTGGGTTCCATCGTTTTACCACAGACCTAAAATTACAGAGGTGTAAACATACTAGAAGCTTTCTCTCACCTAACTCTCTGAACTAAGCAGTTAGAACTCATCAGATGGCCCCATGGTATTTTGGCCCACGTTCCTTCTGTCCTGTGGCCCCACCATCCCTGGGGGATTTGCTCCAACTGCATATTTCGAGATGGCTGCCACCCCCTTCTCATTACAGCCTGGAGGAAGGAGAAAAGGGAAGAACACTTAACCCCTCCATTATGTGCATGATCTGGAAGTTCACACATCACTTCTGTTTGTATCATAGAGGGAAGAATTTAGTCACGTCGTGATACTTAGCTGCCAGGAAGGCCACATCTAGCTGCAAAGTAGGCCAAAATTTGAGAAATTCACTTGCTGAAGAAGTACACAAGGATCAAGGTAGTGAAGTAGCTCTATGAGAAGCACCCAGAGTTTGTGTATCATTTTTAAAGTATTGTTTACTCCGCCAGTTATACTGTCCTTAGTAGAATGTGTTATTGTGGCTCTCCAGGAAACCCCGAGACAGTGAGTTCTGTGCTTCTCTCCTTTGGTCAGGTCTTGCTCGGGCCAAGTCCATTCCCAGCCAGACTTACTCTTCAGAAGTTGTGACTCTTTGGTACCGCCCTCCTGATGCCTTGCTGGGAGCCACTGAATATTCCTCTGAACTGGACATATGGTAAGAGCTAGTGCCAAAAAAATGAAGCAAATGTAGATCATCCTACCCTTGAGGGTTATTACTTTATTATATGTGTCACATTCTTTAAAATTTAACATTTATTATTATTATTATTATTATTATTATTATTATTTATTATTATTATTATTATTTTAACATTTTACTTTTTATTTTTCCCCCTCCCCTCTGGTAACCACTAGTCCATTGTCCATGTCCATGAGTCTCTGCTTGTTTGTCCTGTTCATTTGTTGCTTTTTAAGTGATATCATGTGATTTTCAGCCTTTTCTGTCTGTTTTATTTCACTTAGTATGATTATTTCAAGGTCCATCCATGCTGTTGCAAATGGCAGTATTTCATCTCTTCTTATGGCTGAGTAGTATTCCATTGTATATATGTACCACAGCTTCTTTATCCAGTCATCTATTGTAGGAAACTTTGGTTGCTTCCATGTGCTGGCCACTGTGAATAATGCTGCTATGAACTATATGTGTCACATTTTTAATAATAATCCTAATGACAACCACATTTGTCTACAGAAACATAAAGTGCTTTCAAATACATATCTCATTTGATTTCTCCAATCTATCTGCAAGTTTTTACAGTTAAAGAAACTGAGACTTGGAGAAGTCTTGCCCAAGATTTCTTCTGCATCCTGAACTCTTTCTGTCACGCCTCTTCTCCTAGCTCTTCTCTTCATTCTCTTTATCTTTTCTTCTTGTTTTCAGAGAAACACACATACACTCCCAAACCACAGATACACACACGCACATGCACACACACTCTCATACTTATGCACTCGTCTGCACATGCATGCTCACACGTGCCCAAACACAGTTAAGAGCTTGGTGAAAAAAAAACATAAAAACCAAGATTCAGGAGGCCTGATTTTTATACCACTTCTATTTCTAATCAGTTACTCTGGATTATGTTATCTTGAAAAAGTCATGTATCCTCTTTGTGTCTATGTTTTTCCATTTTTAAAGTGAGGGTAATAAACTCTCCCTGTGGGGGTTTAAGTGAGACTGTAATGCAAGTATAAGAACCAGATAGATGCTGTCAAATAAAACCACGTTGTTAAGGAGGCTCTTGGATTAATGGGATGCGGTGACGAGTGTGGGGTTTCAGGCACTCGTCATTCCTAGAGCAGCAGCATTGTTACCTAGATCTTATTCCTAAAATATCCCAGTCATTTGGGGGCCACAGTTAGATGTGTGGTGACTTTGCAATCATAGCCACCTCCTCAGAGGTAACAAAATATACGAACATCTTTCAAGACCTTAGAAGGTCATCTATAAACAGAAGGCTCTGTTTTTAAAAAAATCAATAATAGGTTTAAAAAAAACTTAAACAGAATTCTAACAGGCTAAACTAAACTTTTGGATTTCCCAAAGAATTGAGAAAGGTCGCAGAAATTTTCCTCTGCAGCGTATCTGGAGTCATTGATTTTCCAATACCTGGGGCCATTCTGGAAGTATCACCTGTCAGTCAAAAGCCCCCTGACACTGTCAGCTCTCATTGCTGTGCACCGTCGCTTCAGAGGCCTTCCATGGGCTCTGGCTTTCTCAGCTTTTAATGATCCCCTCTAGTTGTGCTTCACAGACAGTGAAGCTTATACTCATCACTTTTAAACTTTGTTTCATTATAGAACATTTAAAACATTCAAGAATATGTATAACATATATATACATAAGTGATTCTCAGCCAAGGTCTATGTTGCTTCCCAGGAAGTTTGGCAGTGTCTGGAGACATTTTTTTATTTTCACAGCTAGGTGGGTGGTGCTACTGGCATCTAGTGGGTAAGAGGCCAAGGATGTTGCTAAATATCCTATAATGCACAGGGCAGCCCCCCTCCAAACAAGTATTTATCTAGTCCAAAATGTCAATAATGTCAAGATTGAGAAACCTGATGTAGATTAAGAAACATAATAAAGTGAGCTCCACAAATCCACTACTCAATGTAACAATTAGAACATAAAAACCAATATTGTCACATCTTCTTGTGTCCGTTTTTCATTAACCTGCCCCTCACCACAGGAGCTTCTATACTAATTTTTTTCTCTTCTATCATTCTCTTACCCCTTTTAAAAACAATATTTTTACATTTTAAAATGTATTCTTAAAAAGATTGTTTGTTCTACCTGCTTTTGTGTTTTTATAAAAATAGTATTATATTGTTTTTAGTCTTCTGTGACTTTTTTTTCACTTAATATGGTTCTAAGATTCCTCTACATTGATCTGTGTACCTATACTTTATTTCCTGTTGATAAACATTTTATTTAGTTTGGTTTTTTGTCTTGTTTGTCTTTGCTACTATGAATGCACTTGGTATTAATGCTTAAGGATTTCTCTAGGGTACTTACTTAGGAGTACATTTGCTGCGTCACAGGATTTAGGAATGTTCACCTTCATAGAACAGTGACAAATTGTTTACCAAAGTGGTTGTAATAATTTATTCACCAACAGTGTATTATAATCCCTTACCTATATATGTACCACTTTTTTAATAACAGATTTCTTAATTCTTGCTAATCAAGTGGGTAGAATGGTATCATCTACCATTTGTGATCTAAATTTGCATTTTTCTAATTACTACTGACATTGGACATCTTTTCCTGGATTATTTGCCCTTTGTTTTTTCTCTTCTATGAAATACCTGTTTATTTTTTTAAATTATTTTCTTTTGGTTTCTCAGTCTCTGTCTCTGTCTATCTCTCCCTCTCTCTCCTTCCCTTTCTGTATTGATTTATAGGAGTACTTATATTCCAGATACTAATCTTTTATCAGTCGTATGTGTTACAAGTAGTCTCCCCAGTTCATGGCTTATGTTTTTCAACAAAAGTTCTTAATTTTAATATTACTGATCTTATCAGTCTTTTCTTTTATGGTTAGCCCTTTTGTTTCTTGTTTATAAAATCCTTTCCTTACTGAGATCAGAATGATATTGTCTAATACATTCTTTTAAAAGTCGTAAAGTTTTTCCTTTCACTTTAACTCTTTAATACATTGAAAATTGACTTTTGTATTTGCTGACCAAAGGTCTCATCCCAATTTCTTCAGCGATCTGCTATGGCAATCTCTTGTAGATCAAGTTTCCATAAATGCGTTGTTCTATTTCTGTGCTCTCTATCCTTTTCCACTGGGGTCAATTTATCTGTCCCTGTACCACTTTATTAATTTCTATAGCTTTATAATAAAACTTGATATTTGGTAGGACAAGTCTCTCCACTTATTCTTCCTCAGGAGTATGTTGGCTATTTTTCGTATAAATTTTAGATTCAGTGTTTCAAGTTTCATGAAAAGTCCTAATGAGATTTTCATTCAAGTTTTATTCAAATCATAGAACACTATGAGGATAATTAACACTTTTGTAATATTGTGTTCCAAATGTTAAGCATAGTGTATCTCTCCATCTTTTGTGTTTTTCTTTAATGCCTTTTAGTAAAGTTTTAGAATTTTCTCTCTAAGGTCTTACATAACTAGAGTGAAGGTCTTTGTAAGTCTATTTCTGTTTATTCTTTCTTATGGTTCTTGCATATGGTATCTTTTTTTTTCATCTGTGTTTAGTCATTTTTGACAGTGATATTCTAGTTTTCCTTGGAATTTCATTCATGGGATTTTTTTGAAGGCCTTGAATGAGGTGGGTTATCTCAAAGAGAATTTGCATTTAATTCTGCTAGGTGCATTAATAAAAAAATTTATTATCGTATCTTACATACATGTTGGTCTGCCACCCAGACCTTGATTTCTTAATACCATTCCCTGCTAAAAAGAACTAGGACTTTTTGAAGAAATGGCCGATTCTAAGGCTAGGGCAGAGAAAGTACAAAATAGGTCAGGGACTTGTCGGGCCGGAATATTTTTTTGACAAAGTGATCAAAAATGATGAGAATATATCAAAAGGACACTGGAAGCAGCTTGAAGAGACTCCCACTAGCCAGAGGTGGTAATATTTGAGCATCAGTATAAATAGGGTAATGGATAATAACCCATTGAATAAAATAAGACTATATAAATTTGTATTAAAGATAGCTACCTGGTAGATAGTTAAGAAGGGAAGCTCCTTATAGTAGAATGCCAACTAATAATTGGAGAAAAGGTGATGGATTTAGAAAATCACTTTTTTTGTAATACAATAGTAATTGATTCAAACAAGTATCATCAATGCTAAACTAGAGAAGAAAATTCAATGAGGAATAAGATATTTACATAGTCTCAAAGTACCTCTCTACAAATTGCTTATTAATTACAAAAAGAAAAATAGTAACTTTGTAGTAGAAAAACTTGGCAGATACTACTTTAACCAAGTAATTAGAGTTAATATTATCAATAATAGGACTCTCTGACATGTGTACCTCCTAATATGATGCACTGAGAAGGATATAATATCACTTAAGTTTTCCTGCAAAAAAAGCATAACCTGAATCAAATCATGAGGGCACATCAGATAAACTCAGTTTGAGAGACATTTTACAGTGTAACTGGCCTTCACTCTTTAAAAGGGTTGTAGGGGAGGAAAAATTTTTCCCTATCTCCTTAGGTTCAGTAGATGGGCCTGCAAAGTAAACTGACAAAAAAGGTGGCCGCGCACAAGAAAAAAAAAAAAAAAAAAAAAAAAAAAAAAAAAAACAGATTAACAGGAGAAAAGCATACAAATGTGACTTGATATTAAAAATATTATATGGCACAGGGAAGGTGGCTCCCTAGAAAGAAGAGAAACCCTCCAAAGAAGCCGCTAGGCTTAGAGGCTGTTATACCATTCTGACAAAGGACAATGCATTTGTAGAAGAGACAAGACAAAAGAAAGGGGCTTCTGGACTTTTCAAGGGCCATAAATTGTGGGGAGGTAAATCTGTGGGGGACCCTAATAGTAGATAAGTGTTACTAAGCAAGGTTTTTTTGATGTCGGTTCTTCTTGGTGCCATCTCTATCTCTGGTGATAAGATTGTTCTCCCCTCTTGGTATGGAAAGGCGGGAAAGGATGAGGAGACATCTTCCCAAG